ACAGCTGTGGGATATCTTTTAAAGTCTCGGAGCCTCAAGAGATTGTTGCAAGGAACAAATTGAGTAAAAAAATAATGTTTAGAAATAAGTTAGGGTTTTTTTGGTTGTAAGAACCACCTTAAGAAAGGTGGGAGGGAAGGGGTGATTTTCCGGTTTACACTGTCTGAAGCAGGATCAGGAAGCTAGCAGGACCCAAGGCCCTCTGAGGCCAGACAGGTCCCTTGAACTCTTTCTCATTGCATGTCTGTTTCTCACCAGCCATCTGGTTAGCACTCACTGTATAATCTAGAGAGACTCCCGAATGATCAGCAAACCACCACGGCCTTGTGAAACAGTCTTCCACGCAAGAGTGTCTCCAGACAAGCCAAGGATGGGCTACTCTTGGTCCACCTGGCCCAATCAGCACAACTCTCCTAATTAGGAGACTGTGGGTGGGCAGAAGGGTGTTGTGTATGACAGGAAACATTACTATTCCAAAATATGATAAGAACGTATGAGTACAGTGTATTGAGGGAGAAGTGGTGAATAGAAACTGCCCCTGAGCTCTCAAAGGGCATGTTTAATTGTGTGTTACACAGAAGATGTCATGGTTAATGTGACGAGAGATTACATTCCCGGAAGAAAATATTTATTCTCATTAAAAGTATCCCTTTATTGTAGCAAGTAGAGAAAAAGAAAGAAAGTTTGCATGTATGGGGAGTGGGGAGGAAAGTAGAAGAGGCCAAATACAGTATATAAATTTGGTATCCGGGGTGTTGAGAGGAAATGAGGGACTCGGGCACAGATGAAACACCTTGCAACCATTCCCACAGTAAAAAGTGAAGCAAGGGAACAGCATTTAGCAGAGGGTTGGGGGATCCAGTCTTCTCAGCAATACTGATGATAAAGTTTGAATACTTAATGTGAATTCTGAGTAATAACATAAGAAATTACTAAGTGCCTGTTTTAGTCTGTTCGAGCTGCTATAAAAAAATGCCATAAACTGCATGGGTTATAAACAACAGAAATGAGGCTGGGAAGTCCAAGATCAAGAGGCCAGCAGATTGAACATCAGGTAAATGCCAGCTTCCACACAGATTTCTCATTGTGTCCTTACATGGTGAAAGGGGTGAGCTAGCTCTCTGGAGTCTCTTTTATAAGAACTCTGCCCTCATAATCTAATCGCCTCCCAAAGGCCCCGCTCCTAATACCATCACCTTGAGGGTTAAGATTTCAACACATGAATTTGCGGAGGACGCAAACATTCTGACCATAGTTGTGCACTAACAAATATGCACAGCGTAACTTGGGATAAAAAGGATGTGGGCACCAGAGGA